TGTTGTTCTTGTAATAACTTAATTGTCCCATAAGGAGCTGGTTTCACTTCATTATTACCATAAAGTTAACCAAATAATTCAGCCTGTAAATGTTTTGCAGAATACATAGTTTCCACCATGTCTATTTAACATGCAGAAACCAGCTGACATTACCCTTTTGCTTAAAATTTCCTTTCAGCTTGAGCATGTCCCGAATTGCACATCTCTTCCCTCTCTTATTCCCACTCTTATATTTAACAATGATCACTTTTCAGTTAAGTTTCAGCACTTAAGAAGAATTGTGTATTGATTACAGTATTCAACCAAAAGTATTAAGTAGAACAAACAAAAAAAAATACTAAGAGGGATAACATATCAAGTTGCTCATCAACAGGGTGAGGGCTGATCAAGTCACCGTTTCTCATAGTGTTCATTTCACTTTAACAGGTTTCCTTTTTGGTGCTCAGTTAGTTGTCACCTATCAAGGAGAACAAGTGGTATTTGTCCCTTTGGGATTGGCTTATTTCACTCAGCATAATGTTTTCCAAATTCCTAACAGGGACATGCTCAAGCTGACTTACCTCAAACGGTAGAATTAGAAACATACCAGGGGATTCCAATTCAATCCCATCAAGGTGGCTGTACCAATGCCATCTCACTAGTCCCAGTGATCAATTTCTGTTCACAATTGATCATAATGATAGGACTAAGAACCAAAGGGATCACATAAACAAGAATAGTGTCTGCAAATACTAGCTGATAGAATAAAAAAGGGAGAGAATGATCCAACATGGGAAGTGAGATACACAGCAGACCCATAGAATGGCAGATGTCCTAAACAGCATTCTGGCCTCAGAATCAGCCCTTAAGGCATGCGGATCCGGCTGAAAAGCCCATGAGAGTATTTCAGGCATGGAAAGCCAAGACACTCTGGGGGAAAAAAAAAAAAAAAACCTAAATGAAAGATCTCCTCGAGTGAGATCCCAGTGGAAAGAATGCGTCATCAAAGAAGGTGGTACCTTTCTCTGAAGGGAGGAGAGAACTTCCACTTTGACCATGGCCTTGTCTAAAAATGATCAGAGTCGGTGAACTCAGGGGCTTCCATAGCCTGGGCAGCCCATGACAAGACCCTAGGGTGATTCCTGATGCCATAAACAAGAGTGTCAGTTTTTTAATTCAACAACAGGAGCCCCTGTGCCCTTCCCCCCCATGTGGGATCTTTGTCCTTAGTGTGCTGTACATTGAGATTTAATGCTATAACTAGCCCTCAAACAGTTTTTTTCCCTTTTTGTTTTTGTGTGGGGGCAAACTGTTGAAATCTTTTCTTAATGTTTGCTAAACTGATTTTCTGTATATAAAGAGAAATAAAAATGAATCTTGTTGTGAATGGAAGGGAAGAGGGAGTGGGAAAGGGGAGGGTTCCAGGTGGGAGCGCCGTTATGGGGGGGGGGGGGCGGGGGAAGCCATTGTAATCCATAAGCTGTACTTTGGAAATCTATATTCATTAAATAAAAGTTAAAAAAAAA